GCAAAACATCATATTGAATAACATATCTAGTATATTTGACAAATTAGGCCATTTATTACTTATAATGTAAGCAGTACACAAAGCGTTTGAATATACCTACTGAACGTAGATGGAAATGGTCCGTGAAATTGAAAAAAAAACCCAGCAAACAAACAGACGCAACGAGTGAGTAAGTGATATTATAAATAGAACTTGTTTGAGCAAGACAATATGATCAAATGCAAGTCAGTCCTAGAGGTGGGAAAGTAGGAAAAGTATCCAAATTGGAAAATGTAGAGACAAAGTTGGTCTTAAAAAAATATAAAATTTATGAAAATGGCTAGCAAAAAAAAAAAAAATGGAAATGTGCATTGAATTCTTCATTAACAAATCCTCAAGGAATCAAGGTAGCCTTAAGCACAAACCCCCCAAAAAGTTAAAAAGAAATTTAGGTAGACTAAAAATTGTTAGATTGATATACATTGAAAACTCAGTTTCAGTTGCAATTGATTATAATAGTGGTAAGACAAATTTTGGTCACACTTTGTAGTCCACGGCGCCCACAGCAAACCAAAATAGGCCTACATGTTATTTCCTAGAGTCTAGTAAGTGTAGTGTAACCAAAAATTCTCTACTACAGTTGTCTCCGCCTAAGATCCCAGTGCTCTGGAGCAAGGGAAATACGGGATCTTAGCCAACGAAGCCAAGGAAGAATCTACAGTGACCCATGTACTGACGTGACCCCTGGGTGGGTTTATGACATATGGCGAGCAAAGAGTGGTCAACCTTGATGACCAATCACAGTAGCACGATGGCATGAGGCATGCCATAATATTATACCGTACACTCATTAGCATATCGTCTCGAGATCTTTATCTACGTTTATCCCCTTTACCTGTCCAAAAATTTTAGCCTTCCATCTCTGATTGAGTCCCCCCGCCTTTGTCGTTACGTACCATATCACTGTGACTACACCAATTAAAATTCAGGCTGTCTCGCAAATTCGGGAATAGAGAAAAACTGCCTTCAACTTCAATGGACAGGGAAGAGTTCACAGTTCGATGTGATCCTGCCTGGAGCGTATTTGTAGGCCCTACCCACCCAGTGAGTGAAGTAAGTTCAGGTGGCGAGCTCAGATGCAAGTGCGATATTTGGGGAAAAAAAACGCATCGGTCAGTTCACACCTTGGTGTGATCCCGTCTGGGGATCATTGTACCGTTTCATGGAGTTTTACAACGCTTATGATCACATTCACAAGAGTGGCTGATCTTTGACGCGACGAGCAGTTCTTTGATCTCAACTTTTTACTCTTGGTTGATCGGCTGTGCCCGCACGGGTGTTTATTCCATAAATTATGATCAGAAATGCCGGCACTTACTCTTTCATTAAGCTTCAAAAGTACTCAAAATGTACTTTAAAAATACTCAAAGGTACTTCTATAAAAAGTATCGGAGTACAGTAAAAGTACTGGTTCTCAAAATGTACCGGAGTACAGTAAAAGTACCAAAAATTGTTACGTAAGTACAAGTACTTGTACTCCATTACTTCCAGCTCTGTGTGTGAGTAGGTGTGTGTCTATGTAAGTGCAAAGGTGTTCATATGAATGTACGTCTATGTACGTGTTTAGGTGTGTGTATGTGTGTAGATGTGTGCATGTGTGTAAGTGTGAGTAGGTGTGTAGGTGTGTGCATGTGCGTTTGTGCATGTATGTGTGTAGGTGTGTGTATGTGGGAGTAGCTGATTGAGATAAGGAATGTACAGGGGTATACATCTATGTGTATGTGTGTGTGTCAATGTGTATATGTGTGTTGTGTGTGTGTGCATGTGTTCATGTATGTAAAAGTAGTTGAGTGTGACTAGAAATGTGTGGATGTGTATATCTATGTGTGTATGTGTAAGTGTGAGTGTGTGTGTATGTGTGTGTGTGCGTGTGTATGTGTGTGTTTGTGTGTGTGTAAATGTAAATAGGTATGGTTGAACACAGGTGTGAGAATGTGTCCATTGCCTTCCCCCCTCCCCCCCTCCCCCCCTCCTTCCTCTTCCCTTTGGTGCTCCACCCATCGCCACCCAAACCTCACCATCTATCCCCCTCATACCCCATTTCTAAAAAAAAATACTTCCCTACCCATCTCCCTGATTGTCATGACCCAACACAACAACCCCACCCCATCCATTCCCAGTACCCGGGCCCTCAATCTATGTATGCATATTTTTGTGTTTAAACATGCGTTTCAGTAAGCATATCTGCCATTGTAATCAAAAGTTCCTCACAGGGATCAATAAAGTGTAATCTATTTATTATATATCCTTTATTTACCGTGGTTGTAGGAGCCAATGAGTCCAGTGGGTGCAGAGAACTGCATGCTGGTCAACACACTGAGCTGGACCATCATCTCCATGCCTTCCTCTGTTGGGAAAAGGACACAACTGACCTCTTTGACCCACATACAACCAGACAACACACACACAAACATGTATACATGCACATATACAGTCAAAATGGTCTATGACAACCATCCATTTTTTAGGAGAAAAGTAGCCGTCTTCAACAGATGTCTGTCTTACATGGCGGATTATAAATAAAGAAAAGTGCAAGGGGAGAAATGGGAAATGGTTGTTTGTAATTGTGATTAGCTTATGCAGGCGGCAATTAGAGCTGGTTCAATTGTACGTACAAACACACAAAGACCTACAACTACACATAAACAAACATAAATGCGCATACCCACACAAACACATACATAGGCACATGTAAGCAAACACACACACACGTATACACGCACACACACACACACACACACACACACACACACACACACACACACACACACATGCACGCAGCAATCAAAGCTCGACTCACCCGAGGAGGCCAGAGGCACGAAGATGTCAAATTGACCGCCCATATCCACAGGCAGGATGTGATTGGTCAAGGCATCAAAGAACTCTCGAGACTCCTCGTCTTCCTCATCAGTCAGCGAGTCCAGCGTGACAGTGACACCATGACAGAGTCGCAGCTCACTGGGCTCATGGCAGTGACAGAACAGGCCAATGCTCCTGTGGGGATGCCATGATATGTCAGTATTACATCTGTACTAGAATGTCATGACATGACAGTATTACAGGAATATCATGAAATGTCAGTGACATGCCTATACTGGAATGTAGTGACATATCAGTATACAACTTTACCAGAATGTCATGACATGTCAGAAACACAACTATACTGGAATGTCATGATACGTCAGTGACACAACTATACTGGAATGTCATCATACGTCAGTATTCAGCTACACTGGAAGGTCATGAAATGTCATGAAATGTCAGAGACACAACTATACTGGAATGTAGTGACATGTCAGTGACACAACTATACAGGAATGTCATGAAGTGTCAGTATTACAGCTATACTGGAATGTCATGAAATGTCAGAGACACAACTATACTGGAATGTCATGAGGTGTCAGTGACACAACTGTACTGGAATGTCATCACGTGTCAGTGACACAACTGCACTGGAAGGTCATCACGTGTCAGTGACACAACTGTATTGGAATGTCATCACGTGTCAGTGACACAACTGTACTGGAATGTCATCACGTGTCAGTGACACAACTATACTGGAATGTCATGAAGTGTCAGTGACACAACTGTACTGGAATGTCATCACGTGTCAGTGACACAACTGTACTGGAATGTCATCACGTGTCAGTGACACAACTGTACTGGAATGTCATCACGTGTCAGTGACACAACTATACTGGAATGTCATGAAGTGTCAGTGACACAACTGTACTGGAATGTCATCACGTGTCAGTGACACAACTGCACTGGAAGGTCATCACGTGTCAGTGACACAACTGTATTGGAATGTCATCACGTGTCAGTGACACAACTGTACTGGAATGTCATCACGTGTCAGTGACACAACTGTACTGGAATGCCATAATATGCCTGTAAAATGACCTCAAGTAGGGG